TGCCATGGCCATGCACTGGTTCATGGTGGCCACAATAACCAGCAGCGTGGCAGCGCCGGCACGGTTCACTCGCTGTCTTCCCGGTATCGGTGGAGCAGCCGCTGACCGCCGGGGATGTAGTTTGGGGGTTTTCTCTATTCAAGAGATATTAGAGGTGGGTTAAAAGAGTTTCCCCTCTTATAGGTGTTTCAATGGAACAATGCTCTGTTTATTATGTGATATTTGTACCCTTGTCTTAAAAATCCAACCTATATTTATGTTCTTTATATGCATGCTGTTCTCAAAATCCCAGGTCGGTTATGGGTTTTAATCATTGTTCAGCAAGCGGAGAGATGAACTATTAAAAGGGTTTTTATATGGACAATGGTTGCATCCCTGGTAATGCACTATTAAAATCGTCTATGCATATTGGTCACCCTAGTTCTACTTAGACAAGGGGACATCTATAGGTATAAATACAACACCCCCTAGGGGGAGGGGAGACAGACCAACAAGACACAACAGACACGAGACACACAAGCCAACACACGCCGCCAGACATCGACATCAGAGGTAAGCCTACGCAAGCCCTATCCAGTGCCTGCGGAGGCCGACGACGGGGATCTAGCGCCATCTCTGATACTTGTGTGATTCAGATAAATATAAAGCAACACCGGCTTCGGCCAATAGGAGTAGAGTTGTTACCTTCCTGTGAAGGGTCCGAACCTGTATAAAATTCTTGTCTCTATCTCTTTTACCTCAATCTCGCATATACTCTGTTACCGATGATTCCCATATCATATAAATACCGTAGTTGAGATCTCAAATGTCGACAGTCTGTTTCTCGCCTTCCAACATGAGTAAACGATGCATTGATGTCGAGTTCTCGACGAAGCGGCATAGCAACTGATATCATTTTCAGACAGTAGCTAGCTAGAGACAACCTGTACTTAATTTATACACCGAGGAGGAAATGTATAAGCAATGCAGCAGACATTACCACCAAAACTGCATGCCAGTGTCTGTGCCTTACAAGAAGTGATGTACATATATTTAGACAAGATGAATACAGAATGCTACCACATAGTACATAGATACACTCACTTTGTTCCAATAATATTTATATTTATATGTCCATGCAAAGGATATTGTCGTATTAATATCTAGGTACTCTCTCCGTCCCATATTATAAAAGATTTTTGGTGGATGCGTACGGAGGAAGTACTACTCCCTCCGTCCCAAAATATAAGAAACTAGTACTGGATAGGACATTTTCTAGTACTACGAATCTGGACAAACTATTTGTCTAGATTCGTAGTAATATAAAATATCCCATTCAGTTTTAGATTCTCATATTGTAGGACAGAGGGAGTAGTTAAAAAGAAAAATGCTATACACACAACTGTGATATGACTTTTCTACTACCACAGTGACGGCGTATACGCGAGATGATTTTTTTAGCTTGTGATGCATCACGAGTCGTACGGTTGGACGCCTGCGTCGGAAGTATAGCAGCATTCAGTTAAAAAAAATAGTTATATTTTAAAACGTGGGGAGTATATAACAGTATGGCACGGTCTGGCGGATGTCAAAAATTAAATTGGCTGGTGACATAAATATTTTAGGCATTCTTTGGAAAGTAGTATATTTCAATTAATGCAGAGATTGAATCATTTCGCATTTTCTGAAACCAAACCAATTCACATGAAAAACGCTGTAAAATTTTGATGATTTACACCTCTCATCTGGCTGTTATATTAGAGTGGAAACGAGCTAAGCCAAGCCAGCTCACAATAAGCTAGGCTTGGCTTGATTAAGAAAACGAGCTAAAACCTGAGCTCCGCTTGGCTCGTTTCCTGACTCAAGCCCCTGGCAGAGCCAGGGCCCAACTAGCCTTGTCAGGTGCCCGGGCTCCACTGGATGCAGCCGCAGTGTATTTTACTTATTAGTTACTGATAATTACCATGCTTAGGAATAAATTCAGGTGTTTAGTCGCGTAGTGTTGAGTAAAATACTACTAGTAGCTAATTATGTGCTTAATCAACTAGTTCTAATGGATATCAGATCAGTGGATCATCATATAAACTAGCAAAGTGACTAGCTATATTTATAAATGTATAGTATTCAACATTAACAATTAGCTAGTTTCATTTCATCAAATATAATTTTGCACATTGGTTCTCTTCATCATAAATTAGAACTCGATCTATGCTAAATCGTGTACGTGGTTGTATAGATTTAATTGTACTACTCCTCTATCGTTAGGCTTGCCTAGGCTCAGAAAAAATTCTAAATCCGCCACTAGCTTGAGCCAGATCGAGCTGGCTTGCGAGCCTTCCCGTTGAAACACCTCTTCATATATAAATTATAATCATTAATAAAAGCAAGAACAAATCATCGACATGTAAAATTAAAATAATTTTATATATTCAATTCATCATAATCTATATGATAAAGTGTATATTGACAAATAATAACTTCATTAGAAAATAAAATCATCCATATAAGTACACGATAGACTAGACTCACGAGCCAAACAAGCGGCTCGCGAGCCAGCTCGAGCTCTATTCATATTAGGAACGAGCTGAAAATGAGGCTTGAGCTTGGCGTTTGGCATTCGAGCCGAGCCGAGCTAAGCGAGCTCAAGCCAAGCCCAAGCTTTTTTTCCACCCTAGTTATATATAAGTGTGAACCGGCCACATCAGTGTTATATATAGTAGAACCATATGCATAAATGATTTATATACTAGTAAAGAGGTTGAGCTGGTCGCGTTATTACCGTGTCCATATCGTGGGTATACGTTGCACGCTCCTCCGCCCCCACGTGTCAGTTTCCTATTTGGTATAGGAGTAGGATCTCATGCCCACTCGATAGTCGATATAAACGGAAAGAAAAGAAAACCCTACTCCTAAGCGCACGCCCCCCTCTCTCTTTCAGCTCTCTTTGCTCCGATGACCTAAGCGCACGCCGCCGCCGCCGCCGCCGCCGACGAGAGAGATGCCGACGCGCCGCCGCTCGCGCAGCAGGAGCGGGACGAGGCGGCACCAGCGCGACGACGACGAAGAAATGCGAGGGGGCCAGCGGCGCCACGGCGAGACGGGGGGAGGAGGAGGAGAAGGTCATCCGCGGCGTCTCCGGTCGGAGATCGGCGAGGTGAGTGGCTCCCTGTGGAGGATCACCCGCGGCGAGCTCTTGGTCGCCGAGGTCTTTGCGAGGTCGCCGCCGCCGTCGCCGCTGCCGCCGACGCCGTTCTCATCTCAGGTGACGAAGATTATTCCCGGAACTGATGGGGTTTTGTTCGGTGGTGGTGGTGGTCAGGGAGGAGAAGCTTCCTCGTCGTCGTTATTCAAGCCGGCGCCGGCGGCTCCCCTTCCAACGGTGAGGACGTCCTCCTCGTCGGCCGTCGCCGCCGACGGCTTGAAGTTGAAGCCTCCACCGGAAGCAGCCGCGACGGCGACCTCCTCCAAGAAGAGGAATTCGGGCCCTGAATCCTCATCGACGGCGAGCTCGAAGAGGCCGAAGACGGTTCATCGTCAACAAAACAAATCGCCATTGCCGCCGCCGCCGCCGAAGCGCGCCGCCCGAGCCCGATTCGCTGCCATACCATTGCCGCCGCCGCCCAGCAACGAGGAGGTGCTCGCCACGCAAAAGCGGGTGGACGAGATGCGCAAGAAGTACGCCGGCCTGATCGCCAAGTCCCAGGACGTGATCGGCGTCGCCCACCGCGAGGCCGCCGTCCCGGAGAAGGCGAAGGGGCGCCGAGCCAACCTCGCCGCCGTCGCGGCCGCCGCGGAGGACGAGCTCCTCCTCCTGCGGCAGCGGTGCCGGGGGCGAGACGCCGAGAGGGCGAAGGCTCGGGAGGCGCTGCGGGAGATGGAGAGGGAGGCGCGGCGCGCCGGGCTGTTCGCCATGGAGGCGATACGCCGCGAGCACCTGCGGGCGCTCGACATCACCCGCGACATCGAGTACGCGGTGAGCCCGGAGTGCCACCGCGGCGAGGACGGCGTGCTCCGCGTCATCGCGCCGTCGCGCCACAGCCCGGTGTCGAGCATGCTCGGGCTCCTACTGCGACCACAAGACGGCGGCGAGCTGGAGCTAGACGAAGAGTAGATCAAGGGCAGGAGGAAGAGAGCCTAAGTGTATTGTTCATCATTCATTTGAAGAAGTACTAGATGCATGCCATTATTATATGATTATTATATTGCCTTGAGATGTAATTTGCATTGTATCAGCTGAAAGCTCTTTGTATAGTGTTTGATTGTCTCAAGGAGACTGTTCTAAATATATGTATCGATTTCCAGTTTGCATTTGAGATCATCTGTGTGTGGATGGACAAGTGTAAACTGTGAACTCATTGGAGAGATTTGACTGAAGAATATTAAATATATACTATGTTGTTTACCTTCCTTTGGTGAGTGATATATCTGATCTCTGTTTTAACTTTGTGAATTTAATTTCTACACAACATGGGGAATTTGGCTTCAAAGAAATGATCGAGTTTTCGATGGTGCATATGGATCGATGCAACAAATATTCCATCATCACCATGCGCAATGCCTACGATGAAACAAAGTTTGATTACATATCTTTACAACGCCTGATGATATTAGTTGCTTTGCATTCTCTCAAATTACCTGTGCCCCTCTCCTCTCTTTTAGTGGCATTACTTAGTGTCACCCTTGGTTTTTTGGAACAATGTATGCTAAAACCTTGTTTTCTCTTCTCCTATAATTGAAATGGCAGAGCTCCTGCCCGTTCCCTCGAAAAGAAAAGTTAATTTCTACAAGTATGCCTCTGTTGGAGTAGGATATATATCCTGATAGCAAATGTAGCCATGTTGGGTATTATGTATTCTAATTAATAACCAGGTTCTTACAAAAATGAAATGCATCGATAGTTATATATGCCAGATTAAAACATAAAACCAGACCGAGTAAATCAAAATTTAAGTTCTGCTCTCTTGGTCGTTTGGTAAATCCCTCGAAGCTTAAAAAGTGGTATGAGGCAATAATATGGCTAGTAGACAATATGTTGTCGCAATACCACATGCTCATATATTGTACCTATGGAGGGTCAAAAGATGCAGCACAGGACAACATTGCTAACAGAACAACATTGCTAGCTCTTTTCGAGATAGGTTCTTGATCTAATGCAAAGATAATTAGACAGGAACTATGTAAGTTCATCAAAAGATGCACAGCAGCATAGCGGTTTTCTTGTTTTTTTTTACAATGGATTGCTAGTGCAATACCAGCGCGGTCTACTTGTCTGTGCCCCTTTCATGTCTCATATGAAATCACCATCGTATGGGCAACCTGAAGGAGGAATGATCATCAAGCCATCGATGTATGACATGTCTAGAAGATCTGAGACATTCGCCAGATGTTGCTCCAGTGTGCATGGGTCTGAGGAGGTCTCCAAAGAACAAACATTCTTAGCTTGGTTGAAATCAGCCAGTGGTGGTTCGACAATCTTTTCACATACTGATGGAACTTCTGGTGAAAAACCTTGGAGTACAGCTGGTGGAGAAACGATGTTAACTTCTGGACTCATTTCTTTACTTTCCTGTAAGTGCCTTTCAGATTCTGCCACAGCAGACACCTTGAGCTCCACCGGGCTTGACAGGAAAACCAGCTTCTTCCTTGCTCTTTTACGCCAATTCAATCTATCCCTTATCCTCTGAGAAGCTTCACCTGAATCAGGATCTGGTCTTTCTGTACATATCAACTCAGAACTTTCTCCTTCTGATGTATCAGTATTTTCACATAGGTCTATGAACCCTTGTTTAGACTTTGAGCTTGTCCCTTGTTTAGATTTGGAGCTTGCCCCTTGTTTATATTTGGAGCTTGCCCCTTGTTTATATTTTGAGCTTGTTCTTTGTTTAGACATTAAACTTGCTTGTAAATCTGATAACAACTGATTCTCACCAGATGAACCATCACATTTTGAGCTTGCCCCTTGTTTAGATTTTAAGCATGCTCGTAAATCTGATAATAGTTTATTCTCATCAGATGAACCATCACATTTTGAGCTTGCCCCTTTAGATTTTAAGCTTGCTCGTAAATCTGATAACAGTTGATTATCACCAGATGAACCATCACACTTTGAGCTTGCCCCTTTAGATTTTAGGCTTGCTCGTAAATCTGATAACAGTTGATTATCACCAGATGAACCATCACACTTTGAGCTTGCCCCTTTAGATTTTAGGCTTGCTCGTAAATCTGATAACAGTTGATTATCAGAAGATGAACCATCACATTTTGAGCTCACCCCTTCTTTAGATTTTAGGCTTGGTCGTAAATCTGATAACAGTTTATTCTCATCAGATGAAACATCACACTGCTGAAGAATATTTGAGTCACTACTCTGCGAAACTGATAGATTTTCAGGCAGACCAGGAGATTTTTTGAGCAATCCTGAAGCTAAATACGAATTTAATTTTCTTTTCATAGGACCTCTCCAGTGTTCTTTGATTGCAGCACTTGTCCTGCTTGTACGCGACTTTAACAATTTTAGTTCAGAAAGCCTTTTGAAGTGGTTAGATGCATGCTGAATAAAGTAAACAAAGGTAAAGTGCAGGGAAAATTAGAGGACAGGGGAGATCCTGATTTTTCATCTGTTTAAATATTTGAGATCTTACCTCCCTGTGAAATGTTCAGCCATTCTACACCACTTATTTCCAAAAATTTGTTGGACATGAATCAATCTTAGCTCCTCCTCTCGTGACCACGCCTGTTTGCTGATTGCAGGGTCTAGATTGAATTTCCACCTGATTTCCATTACGTCCATCCATACTTAGTTAATAAACAGATATTATTCACGAAATCTGAATGCATATTGACCATGTACTATAGGAATTCTCATTAGTCACTACTCAAAGCCATAAAGGCTTTTAGTCGATATATGATAACAGAGAGCAAAGAAATGTACAGTAAGAAAGTTTCAGGACATGCTTTTAGTAGCAACAAATATTTCTATTCTTGTTCACAAAAGATCAGCTGTAACATGGGTGTTGGAAATAACACAGAAGGCATCAAAAAACCTATTCCATTTATTGCCACAACTAGGGAATCAATTTTTTTTAGCTTAAAGGATATCGACACAAGATGCATGTCCATTTTGTTGTTTCTAATTATCTATCACAAAATTTGCACCATAAAGAGATTTGATGTCAAGCATATTTTCTAACACAAGTATGCAGTTTCATTTGTTGAAATGGATTTTATGTTTCTAAGACAAATTAGAAGTAGACAAGCATGCTTATGAATCAAGACATGTAGGCTACGAGATATTTATGAGCAGAACAGACTAGGTTGACAATGAAATGGGTGAGAATAAGAAAATGCCATTGTGGATGGTGGCAATGAAAGCTTAAGCATAAATAACCAAGACAGTATTTAATGTGGAGATTATTCCAAGCTGTTAACTCAAGTATAAAAGGTCATGGCTAGAAAATATAAAAGGTCTCAATCAAACAATTTAGTTTCACTTAATTACCTTACTCTGCATTGTTGTGCATTTCGACCAGGTATAGCGCGTGCAACAGTTTCCCAGTTGTTATGCCCATATATGTTAATCATTTGAATAAGTGACTCATCCTCCTGGATTCAGAGTTGATTTCATGTTGTTAGTGGACATAACGATGAACAAATAAATAAACCCAACAATTACATGAAGCAAAATAATAAAGTAGAAATCTAAACAACTTTCCTTTGTTGACCATCGCCGCCTTCTTTTTTCAGATATTTCAATACCGCACTTGTCCATGATGTCTTGATAATTTATCTTGCAAGACTGGCCAGCTGCTTGACAAATTCATAATAAGCATCATGGACTAAAATGAACAGATAGGATCATAGGAATACTAATGGTAGTAAATAGGGTTCATAAATATGATGAGACAATGAAACAAGTAATGGAAAACTTGAGTAATGTCTGTGGCAATTTTTATTGACCTTTATGAAGAGAGGTTAAAACTCGGTATGCAATCCATGGATGCAAGGTTAATCAACAATTGACTATCATGTACTAAACATTTAATTCAACTAGCTACTTGTACATAGATGAGAAAGCACTCCTGATTGAATTAGAGATATAACTAATGTCCTACTCCCATTAACTTTCAATTGGCGGGAACAAAAAAAGATCAGGGCAAATCAATGAATGGTAATCAGTTTCATACTATCAAACAGAAAATGTACTACCCAAAGTCCCAAACTTCCATTTACTTTTGAAGGATAATAGTAGGAAAGGGTCCTTCTGTATACATGTAATAACATCTACAAAGCTGCAGAGTGTTTACACATCAGTTGTTAATCAAGCTGCTGTGACCAAAGCGATATCAGGAAGTTGTTTTTTTTCTCTTTGCTGTATGGGATAACGAAGGAAAATGCTTTCTGAAGTTTAAACTTGTATTGTCCAAAAAGAAGGCTATCTGCTGAAAAAACTTGCCACTTCTTACAATCCAGACGCCAAGAAACATGAATGAAAATCTCCATGGGAAAATGCAGGTCCGAACTTCCCATATTCTTAAATGAACATGCAATTAGCAAAGAGTAAATACCTTCTAATTCTTCTCCTTGGCAATGCTTGTGACTGTCTTCCGGTGCATTAGCCTGAACACATAGTTAACTAGTCAAATACTCTGTGATAACAACTCGAGGTAGCACACCCATTTTACTAGTTGCTTGTTTTATCACAAACATGGATGCTTTTTAGGTTTCGCTAATTTGCTTCATATATGAAACTCAAATTCTTAAAGAGTAATCTGTGTGGTAGCATCAGAGGCACATCATTACCACATCCTCCGCAACCCAATCAACCTCGCTCGAGTCAGGGGGGGTCAGTTAAACCCCCAAATTATTGGGGGAACAAACAAACTGTTACTACTTGTACTAAGAGAGGTTAATGCTCTGAAATTAAGGAGGAGAAGAGCTTCTTCCAGATCTAGAAGGGAAGCTAGGGTTAACGCAAGCAAATTCAAGAATCCAGATATAAGTACTCCCGGTGGGAGAGTGAGAGAGATGAGTAAGAAAGAGGATGTGGATGCTCACCAGGTTACCCTTCCCCTCCCCCTCCTCCTCCCCCTCCCCTTCCCCCTCCACTGCTCTGCTCGCCATCGGCTGCCGCGACTCGTCTTGGCGCAAGCGCAAGGAGCGGAGGAGACGAGACGGGAGATTTTCGTTTACGCCAGGGGAAGGAGAAGATACTCTCGTCTCGAGTACTCCATTTTTATCTTTTTATTTGTACTATGCACTCGCAAAGTTTGAGATGGACACCCCTATGTCAACACGAGATATTGCACTATATACCACACTTTTAAATATGGCAATTAACTATTTGTCACTGGACCCACATGTCATAGACACATGTGGACCCACATATCATTGAGATAGGTGTGGCAAATAGTTAATTGTCAAATCTAAAAGTGGCAAATAGTTAAAAGTCCCTGTCAACATACATCAACTTAGGAGGGGTCTGGAATGGAGGGAGTATGCTAGTATTTTGAAATTTTTGGCTAAATTTTGGAAATTTTCATCTCAGAGATATTTTAGTTATCTCTACTATTATAAAAATTAAAGATGTTATTGCCAGTATTTGGTACGTCATTCATATTTGAGTCAGTTTTTTAAATTCGTTCACTTTTGAAAATACATATTCTTGTTTAAGTCGGATTTTTAGTTCATTTGCTTTTGGAAATACAAAAGAAGTCATTAAGAAATTTCTTTAAAAAAAAACTTGCATGCTAACCTGATATGAAAGTCGGTCTCCTAATTGTAGCTCATGATTTTTTTAAAAAAAATCTAAGCAAATTTCTACAGTGAATTTCATTCTAGCTAAATCGTATAACAATAATAAGATTAAAAAAGCATTCACCGTTGCAATGCACTGGCATTTTTTCTAGTTAGAACAAAATTATATAGTACCCAACCGAGTCTAACTGGATGGCGATGGTATATTATAAATGTTAAGCAAAATACAATGACATGTGTATAACTTAACAAACTCAATGGCATATTATAGAACGGGAATAAAATCAGTGACACACGATAGATTCTCTCTAAAAATAATCTAGTTAAAGCGCTTCTTTATTTCACTCAAAACAAAACATTTCTTACCTAAACATGCTAGGAGAACTTCGAGAGAAGGTAAGAAAAAGGAGGTTGGTCAGTAGCCCAACCACACGAGGAGAAAAGTAGCTCTCATCCATAGTATACTCCGTTATAAAGTTAATGATCATAGTGCATTATATATATTGTTAAAGTGTGTTATGACTTGTGTTATGACTTTCACTATTTACTAATTACATGCATATGCATTATATGCATTATAATGGGATCTAGAGATAAAACCCATGTTCCCCGAAACCGAGCCCAATGCAGAAACATGCGGAATGAGGTGGTTTCCAGCATACTCGGTAAGATTACTCACCACTTCCACACGTCCTCATCCCCGCTCCCCAAATCCGCTAGGGGCATCAGCCCCCAAATTTGAAAAGAACAAGGCAAGAACTCATGTTAACCAATCCATAAAACCGACAGGAGTTAATGGCGCAAGCAAAGAGGAGGAATCGGCCGCTCTTCGCGTGGGATCGGGGCCTCACCTCACCTGCGGGGCGCAGGGGAGGAGGAGGAGGAGGGGGAAGCGAGCAGCGGGTGCAAGCTCCCTGCGGAGAGGAGGGTTTGTGTGACATCCTGACCAAGGGCTTAACAGGATTAATAGAATACTCATACCAACAAGTTACAACTTCTTTTTCCGGAAGCTGATCTCCAAAGAACTCTGAGGTTAAGCGTGCTTGGCCTAGAGCAATTTGAAAAGCTGCCAGATGCAAGTGGACCCGGCCTGGGGCGCGTGTGTCACAGTTGCGCATGGCTGGTGTGGACCCAGAGTGGTCAAAGTGTGCAGAAAAGACTTGTGTTGGTCTGATGGCAGTCTATATCCAAGAAAAACTGCCAGATGTAACTAGGCCCGCCCTGGGAGAGGTGGGACGTTACAGTTTGGGTTTTGGGCGGTGGTGTGGAAAGCTTGAAAGGGGGGATGGAACCCAAGTAGTAGCAAGCGCCATTGTTTAGCTTTTGCTTTGGAGCCTGACAACAAGCTCGAGGAAAGTAGCGGAGGCAGGGGCAGTACGTGCGGGCGACTAATCAGACGGGAGGCAGCGAGTGGGTTGGTTCGAGATCTGGGCCGTCTGCTCCTCCCGTGTAACTGTGTGAGCCTGTGAGGCAATCAATATAGGCTACTGCTACCTACCAACGTCCTGGAAGGGCGCTGAAAGAACCTCGATGTCGCCTATAGTAGGGTGAATAGGCGTTTAAAACTTTTAAATAAATGTAGAAGCACCTTTTGGATATTTCTAAATATTTTCGGAATTTTCCAAAAATCTCAGATTTACAAGCAAACTAGCAAGACAAGCAAAAGGGAAGAGCAACACAATTAGGGAAGGGATTGCACATACAATAACTAAACTACAAGCCGCACCAAATATCAAAGCTAAATGAGTGGCCGAGATATCACCGGGATTCTTGTAAGATGATGTGCTCGAAGTTCAAATCTTTGAGGGGATTCTACACTCCGTTGAGGATATCACAATGAGTCGGGTCTTTTGAAACCCTATCCACTTTCCATTAAGGGTATATCTTTCCTTTCCATTAAGAGTAACAAATGCAACAAAGATTTCCTGGGGATGAATCGAGTGCTCAATAAATCTTCACGAAGTCAACACCATGTATTCAAACAAACTCAAATCAACCACTCACACGTACACACGAAAACCAAGCTTGTAGATCAGTGCAGAGGAAGAAGTGAGAAGGCAAGGCTCAAAGTGAATCTCAAATCAACCCAAGCCAATGGCATAAGAAAAACAATAGAGCCAGCAACCCTAGCTTGTGGGTGGAGGGGGTTACTTATAGTAACACCCTTAGATCACCCGTTACGGGGAAAGATTCCATATTTTAGAAATTTCTAAAGTGATTACCAGAGAGCAAAAACAACTTTCGAAAATTTCTTCGGAATTTGCTACAGTAACTTCAGGCTTTTCTTTCGAAGTTTGCTAAAGTAACTTCGGAATTTTCCGAGCAGTGCAAAATTCCAGCACAAACACAATAACTGGGCAAAAAAAAGCATTTCGAAAAATTTCAAAATATTTTGAAAAATCCGAAAAACACCGGTACCTGTTTTTCGCCAATACAACATTTCGGAAATTTCTGAAGCAGTTTCGGGAAATTCCGAAAAACACCAGTACCATTTTTGCAAACTCAAATCAGTTCGGAAATTTCCGAAAATGACTTTCAGAAACTTCCGAAAAAATACCTGTACCGGTTTTCAAAGGTAAAACCAATTCGAAAACTTCCGAAACCAATTTCAAAAAACTCCGAAAAACTCCAACACACAAATCCAAGAGTGAGAACCACTTCAACAAAGATTTTGAGCACCAAACTCATCCCTAGACATCAAGGCAACATTTCCCTTAATGGTACGGCTTTCCTACCAACTCAAGAGCAAATAGAAAAGCTATACTAATGCGAGTACCTTTATGCCATCGTCTTTCTTTGCCTTGAATAATGATAATATGGAATTTGGCTTGATGTTCATCAACAAATCATATCCTCTTGATCTTTTGACATTTCATCTTGCACTTCTTCTTTACCAAGGGTTGATTCTCGGCAACTTCTGACATCCTATGGCCTCGATCGATTCATCGGCATTCGGTCAAGCACTTGCTCCTTCATCCTTCGTCGCCAAGCCTCTGCTTGCCCTTCTCCCTTGCATGGTCCATTGTGTAGCCAAGTCTTGCCAACCTTCACTGCATCTTGCCATCTTCCGTCACTTGTAGCCTTGGATCGCAATGAAACCTTGTTGTATTGCATATTCTTCTTCATCATCTTTGTCGATTCTTCATCGAACTAATCCCTTGATTATTGTTAACGCCAAAATTTGGTAAGCCTCGAGGTCATCATCAATTTTACCAATAGTCGGATTCTTGGTAGATTCGATTAAGGAAATCAATCAATTAAAGGAAGTTTATCTAGAAGAAACCGAGTTCAAGAAGGATGCGATATGATAGTTTATCTATTAATTAGAAAGAGTCATTTAGGTTCCTTTTATCTTTAGAAAAGTATGTTTAGTGTCTGATAAGGACTTTATGTTTTCCTATTATATTTAGGAATGTTTCTTTCTTGTCCAATAAGGAATAGTATCTACCCATGTGTACAAATATGTACTCCCCGAGTCATTGTAAATTACCTCTCGATCAATAAAACTACTCTAGACGCATCACCACCCACTTTTCCGAGGTTTTCACTTATCACCGGTGGAACTTGGCACCTCACGTGAGGCTGCATCGACTTCGATCTCCGGTGAAGGGGTAAGTCCTACGTTCCGCCAGCTCAGGCAATTGTATTGGCTATGTTGGTGTGCTTCAAAGCTGCATCACTTCGATCTCTTGGATCGCTCTGGTTCGGTTGATATAGTTGCCTGCTTACCTATCATATATCTTGGCTAATCTAGTTTGGTAGCTCGATTTACTCGTATTGGTTGGGATCTGCTTTAGGGTTTTCGCCGGTATCAACTAAATTGCTTTTCCAGATTAGATTAGCTAAGTTATCCGCCACTCTTAAAATCAGTCAAAGGCTTGATTGTTTAGACTTTATATTTCTTTGCATACTTTGAGTTGCATCGACCATAGTCGTGGTTAGAAACATAGAAATTAACATGCCTTTGATCGCCAATAAGGGTTTCATCGGGGTTTCAGCCGATGAGTTATTTGGACGCTGCATTGGCTTATTAGAATTTCATACAAGTTGGATTTAGCCGATTGCAACAAAAGGTTTCATTGTTTATCTAATCGTTCAGATTTAATGACATCGGACCTTCAGCCGATGTATGCTTTAACCTTCAGATCAGTGTTTATTCTGATATATCATTATTACCCAATTGGTTTCAATTAGATTATATTGTTGTTTTATTATATTATCATCAGCTGATTGTCTATATATCATTATTTACTCAAGTATCAGAATATAAATTAGACATATAGCCAATTGCTCGAAACCCCATCGGCATTAGCTAATATCGACATCGGCTAGGACCAGCCTCGGCTGGAATAACTCCATCGGCTTGTCAGTTGATTGGCTCTTCGGTGATTAACATACTTATCTATCTTGTCAGTTGCAGGATCAAACTGACTGGCACGCCCACATCTCATCAATTTCTGGACCTGCACAGGAGCTAAGCAGATCTCTCAAGCTGTTGTGTTTGTCGACTTAGTTCGCACCAACACAGTTCCGGCAACATTGGCTGAGCACGAATTTTTCATCAACAATTATACACTCAATAAACACATTAGTCCCTTAATCTTTTGTCATCAATTAACTAAAACCCACTAGGGGCATAGATATCTTTTAGGCGCCACCTGTCATTTTGGGTAACTTTTTTTTTACTATTAAGAATAAAGGCAGTCAACATAGTCAATAGAAGGAAGCATCGGTTAGTTGTGGTGAGACCATAAAAAACTCAAGTTTAATAAAAAAAATCTGCTAAGTAGTACTCCCTCCATTCCAAATTGATCTATATATTTCATAGGTACACTAAGACCAAGAAAAGCTAATAACTCTCTCATACTATATTTACTCTAGCAACAAACTCGATGCATGCACCATCCCCACTATTTCCTAGCCAATAGCAAATCAAGATATTGCATGTGGGTTATAAATACTTGTGTGCATGGATGCTTGCATCAATGTCTATTTACTTCAATGCACGAATAACAAATAGACTTAATACATGAACACAAATATGTAGATCATTTGGGAATAACCTAAAAAAACTATATGTAGATCAATTTGGAATGGAGGGAGTATTACTTTTGAATAAAAATTAATAGCGTTAAGAGCGAGTATAATAATATAATGTAAACGGGTTGTATAAGTTATCATATCATATTTGTGCTTACGCGTGGAGAATAGAAGAGAAGAGAGAAAAAAATAAGTTACAAATTTATACCCAGCTGCAGCACAAGCTCCGATAAATTATGTTAGAGATATGGGTGGATTAGGTATTAATTATGCAATATATATGTGTAACTAACTATTATACAAGTGAGCTATTAGAGCTATTAGATTTGTTGTAGATGATGTTTTAGTTTTTGGAGGTAGTAGTTGGATATATTATTGAACTTACTCTAAGGATTTCAATTTGTCTCTCTCTTTAAAAAAAAATCAAACTTCAATAGCCTAGTTCAAAATAAAAAAGAATGTATTTCTGGTAATGCACCTAGACAAGTTATATTTATAAGAAATACACTTTTTTTAAGACAAAGTTGGTAATTCATATCCAAATTCAAGTTTTCGTAAATTCAAAATTCATTCAGTTCAGTGTCGAAATCGGGATTCAAACCTTCTTCATTGATCGAATTCCTCAATATCTAAGGAACTGTGACCCTCAAAATCTTTCTTCCTTCGCATGTTACACTGTTGCAATTGGTGTGGCATGGTATTGTCAACTGGTAGAGTACTGCATGTGAATTTACAAAATTAACAACACCTGAATTTTATTTCAGTTCTGCCATCAATAATGTTGCCATCAACTAGTACTTGAGTTGGTTCGCGTAGATATACTTTGTGTGATTTTTTTAGTATCAATAATCTTGATGAGAGATGTATTATATAGTCATAGAACATCTATCTATCTATTATATACTAAAAGTCCATTAATCTTCCTATAAACGCTTTTAAGCCGTCATGTGGCGCTCCTACCAGCACTGCTAGATTGCCACGTGGCATGCTATAATTTCACCGTCGATTTTTATTTAAGTTGGTGGACCCGTTATTTAAAACCGTGATATTAGATCTATTAAAAAAAGGTTAATACTTTATGTGTATACATAATCCGTTTACACTTACCTAAAAAAAGTCAGCATACCAGGAAAACGTACTATGGGCCGAAATACATAGTACGAAAAAAATATACCTTTACGTACTATATTCATTTGAAAAACAAAACAAAGGACGTACGTACCGTTTAGCGATGGAAAAAATACCTTTACCTACTGTTCATTTGAAAAAAAAAGGATGTACGTTAAAAAAGCTATAAAACCCTAAAGAAAAATATATGTAAATATCAGAACCATCATCGAAAAATAGACTATCTTTTTAAAAAGGATTTTTTATATAAAAAATAAAATTTATTACTTCACAAATATGGTTACGTGATGCTTCTACAAGCACTCTTGAACCGTCATGTGACACTGTGTAATCTCGCCATCGATTTTCATTTAAATTGATGAACCTGTTATGAAAAATAGGTGACGAAAATAAACTAGACGCTAAAATATATATATCTGAGACATGAACACTTAGCTAAGTAGTGTATTAATGATATATTAGACTTATTTTATCCGCATTTATGCAATTTCATCTATTAATAGGTAGTCAGCTTTTAAAATAGTGATAATGAGTTGTTACGTTAATAGGAGAATTTATATATAATCGGGACAAAGTGTTTTTTTTAATCTGAGAGAAATTATTATTATTGAAGCATACTAAAGTCTATGATCTATCTCACGACATAGAAATGTGAGATATGACTTCTTTTAGCACTATTTCATAGAACAATAAATAAGATACCCGCGCAACCACACGAGCTTCCTTAAAAGATTGTCATGGTCATATGTATGTTTAGCGATACATTTCTTAATAATCAACCTCACTTATTTCAAAAGAGAATAAGCAGTACTGATTAACACTACAAACAAATAGTCTCTACTCAAAACGTTAAAAAAAATATTTTTATGGAAAGAATTATTTTCTTCACATCTATCTTCTCTTTCTTTCCTGAAGGGCATCGAGCAGTTAGCCAGTTAACACAACTATAGGAGGGACATACATATAATTGAGTTGAGACAGACCCAATGGAGGCCACCACTGACAATAGTACTCAACTTCCTACGTACTAATGCAATAAGCTTTGATGGTGCCGATAGTGAAATAGGACTTAAGAATTATGCTCCACACTGGCTTTGATTGGCATAAGTACGTCGCTATGAGGGCATCATCAATGTATATGGTAAAAGTGATCCATATAGATGGGACCCATATAAAGAGACTTTAACTGTAGTAATCTCCACAATGTATATAGATACAAGGTAGTATTAGGAGATGAGAGAGAGATAGAGATAGATAGTATTATTTCTTCCATATGGGTAGTCCATATGCTTATGGATACCTTTTGTTATTTTCTCCACATGGACTAGTTGCACAATGGTAATAGGTAGTTGAATGTAATATAATATTGCTTATGGACTACTTTTGCTTCACATTGTGGATGCCCTGAAACCTATGTTTGAAGGCAATAGAGATAAATTCTTGGTAGCTCTACCCATTAGAGGGTAATTCATGTCTAATTTTTAACAGTGTTATCCCTTTAACTAATAGAAGCAGTATTTTTAGAATATTTATTTATAGATTTAGAAATAAGAGTTAACATAAACATTTAGGTATGTAGTGGAGATTGATGTTTTATGTATTAATGATGTAATACGCTTACTTTGGTGATACAAATGTAGTTCCGTTTATTAAAAAGGTATCAAGCAACAATGATAATTAGTAATAGTGACAATAGGCGAGTTTACGTGTCATATGGACAAAAGTGATTTTTGTTTGAATATAAGAAACATTCTTATCATTTATTAAAGTCTACGGTCAATTTTACGACAAAGATTTTTTTAATTATAAGGTGAAATCTACAATATATTATATGCATATAGTGAGATATGACTTAATTCTATTTAACATTATTTCTATAAATAATAAATAAGATGACCGCGCATCTGCGCGGGCTTCCTTTCTAGTTCTTAAGAAACTTCATAAATAAGTATAATTTTGACCCCCTCTATTCATATAAAGCATCCTACAATAAACTTCATTACCGAAGATTAATCAATACTAAGTGCTAAAATTAACCCAAATGCCATAATCCACACTTTTGGTACCCCAAAACTTCTTTGCCTGTCTTTGTCCTGGTTCATAACACCACATTTTCTCCATATAGTCCTCACCATCTTTCAAAATAGTATTTTCACCACCCGACTTTGGTACAAATGCTAATTCACCATCACGAAGAACAAGATTAACTTGGATAGTCTCAGGCCAGTCATAAAGCTTTGGAAGAAAAACCTTGTTTTGCATCCACTTGATCTTGACACTTCTCATCATCGTCGTGAGCGTGCCGGTAAACAACGTTCTCCCCTGTAAACTCTCCACTTCCTCCCACTTCATCGCCTCCTCGTTAAGTTTCACAATATGCACCGGCGTCCCTCGTCGGCCAACGAGGATTGCCATCAACTCGCCTTGTTCAGACTCGACGAGGTAGCTATCATCGGTTTCGAACCCAAAGCTCTCGGGTTTGTCATGAATTTCAAACCCTCTTTCGTGATTGCACGGGTCATACAATGCCAGCCTCCCATCTTTCCCAAGGAGGTAGAGCATGCCGCCATGGAAGACCGGGTTGGAGATCGGCAATGTCGGAACCATTTGTTCATCGGGGCTATCCACCAAATCCCAGTCATCCCACTCGCTGTCATCATTTAGTCCGGTTCTACATATACGCAGCGACCCAACCGTGTCGATGGCGTACATCGTCGTCCGCAACGCACCGTCGTCATAGACGATGAAGTTGAACTTGCTATCCGGCAGACGCGGGAGCTCGCGGATGCTGCCGGAGACCATGTCGGCGTCGAGGACCACGTCGTCCGGCGTGCATAGAGTCGTTAGGTGTTCTGCGGCGGAGCAGCAGATCTTGGCACCGGGATCGGTCAGCGTACGGTCGATTTCGAAGTTCTTGTGGAAATAGGGGCTGTAGTACCGGATGTTGGTGGTGCCGACGTCGGCGGCGTTGAGCAGCAGCGGGGTGATCCACGCCGGGTAGGACGGCGGCACGGCGGAGCACCATGGCGAGCACACCGCGGCGACGCTTGGGTGGCTTGACCACCGGAGCCGCTCGAGGATAAGGAGGAGTAGGTCCTCCGGTAGAGAGGACCAGTCCCGCCACTCCGACGACGACGAAGACGACATCGACCGTGCGTCCATCGTGGCGAGATCGCGCGCTCCGTCGATCGATCAGGCCGTCAGGGACGCGGAGTCCAGACATTTCAACGACAGATTGTATCCGAGTATATGTTGGAATGTGCTATTAGTACAAGCCGTAACACTGGCAAGTTCTTGGGCAACTCGTCGTGTGTCAATCGTGTCGTGTCCTGCTTTGCAAACTTGCAAAGTTGCAATCGTGTTGGTCCAAAAATCCCAATCAGATTCAGAATCAGAAGCAGCTTCACCACAGGTGGATCGGAAGCAGGAACCAAAATTAAGTTTGAAACATTTCAGTGAATCCGCACCGAATTCAACTGACAGGCATCAAAAGTATAGGCTCCATGGAATCAGGAATGTCCTCTCCAGGATCATACAAAGCAGTTGTTCCCTGTCCCACATCATACACATACAACCCCTTGTCATCCGATTTGGTGAAGTAGATGCAGTTCTCCTCCAACCCAGCCTCATCCGCCGCCATGGACACGCCAAACTGGCTCGTAACCAGGAACACCCTGTTGCTGCCGAGCCCGTCCGCCTTCACCCACGCGCGCCGCGTCGAGTCCAGCAGGTGCACCTGCACGAGCAGGACCGTGCGCTGGCACAGCAGCGAGTTCCTGAAGTGCACGACGAACAGCTCGCCGCGGGAGTCCACCAGCGAGCTGTTCCAGTGGTTGCACCACGCCGGGCACGGCACCATGGCGAGGGGAGCGCTCGCCAGCGTCGGCGTCGCCGGCGACGGCGAGAACTCCAGCGTCGCCATCTTGCCGGACCACTCCAGGTCCGCGAAGAGCTTGCCGCCCGACGCCGTGAGCCACCCCATAGACTCGATGACGACGGCGTCGAGGTCGTCGTCGTCGTCGTGGTTGGCCGGGGCGATGATCGCCTCCGGCTGGTACTCGTGCCTCAGCCACCGCCGCCGGCCGGCGCTGTCTCCCGGTCCCGGCCGGCAGTAGAACAGCACCGGCTCGGTGGGGTGGACCACCACCACGACGGAGCGCGGGTCCGCGGCGTCGTGCGACAGCACGCACCACGCCGCGTCGTCGTCGCCGCCGCCTAGCGCCTTCGCGGCGAGGCCGCTGATCTCCTCGTCCGGCGGCGGCAGGGGAACACGGCGCGAGGAGAACGGGTCTCGCAGGAAGGCCTCGGCGGGGGCGTCGCCGCCGCCGCGCCGGCCGGCCGGCTGCAGCGTGAGCACCCAGCCCCGCGGCGTGATCCAGGAGTAGTGGCCGATGAGGTCGACGAACGCCGCCGCCGCCGCCGTCAGCTGCCGCCGGCTGGGTATGCTGTACAAGAACTTGTCGCCGGCCTCGCCATGGCCGAAGAGTAGAAGTGGAGCTAAGCGAGATTCCATTAGCGACGGCGAGTCCTGCGCCTTCTTGTTGATCTCCATTGCTAGCTACTATTAGATTGATTCTTGCATGCGTCAGAAGCCGACGAGATTGAACAATATATACGGCTAATTATTTCCGTCGATTTTTGTAAGGCACAGCTTAATTTTCTAGGCGCTTTACTTAGTATTATCCTACACGATTTCGTATATATGCTTTAGAGCTCTATAAGATTCCAAAACAACCCTCCATCCCAAAATATTCGATGCCGTTGACTTTTTTAAATATGTTTGACCGTTCGTTTTATTTAAAAAATTTAAGTAATTATTAATTATTTTTCTATCATTTGAATTATTGTTAAATATACTTTTATGTATACATATAGTTTACATATTTCACAAAAAATTTTGAATAAAACGAACGATTAAACATGTTTAAAAAAGTCAATGCGTAAAACATTTAGAAAATGAGGGAGTAGTTCGCATTGGTTCCTGATCACGAGAGGAATCCTAATACTGTACCTATATATCCTTTCTTTCTAAAAGTATTAATTAAGTACAACCACTTAATCTATTATATACTAAGAGTACATTAAACTTCCTACAAACGCACTCAAGCTGTCACGTGGCGCTCTAATAAATTAGAAAAAATCCTAAAAATTCTAAGAAAAAAGCAAAACATCTACCTCTTGATTTTCACATAAATTGCTGGGTCCAATATTATACACCGTTAGATCAAATTGATCTTAAAACAAACCAAATACTATGGAGTCCCACCTCTCCTCCTTCTCCGGTGCAGGGGTACGTGGGTATATATACGTGTATGTATGCTTCCTTCCCTTCTTCTTTTTTTTTCCTTTTTTTCTTCTTTTTCCATTTATATAATGAATATATACTTCTTTAAATAATCATAATTTTACAACACAAAGAATCTACCATCATACAACTCACTGGTAACTAAATTACAATTTTTAAAAATAAAATTTAAACCATTATATGTGACCATTAAATTAATAATGTAATATAGTTTCCACTTAAACCTGTATACTCATTATTTTGTACTATTATTTTCAAATAATACACTATTTTAAAATAAAGTTTACACAATTATATTGTGTACCTATCAAATAAACAATTTAAGATCTATATTAACTGATTTATATGTACGCTTAAACCGATTATTTAAATCATTAGAGCTATTTTTTATTACATTGGACTATTATTCTCAAATAATGTATGGTTTCAAAATAAAGTCTACACCATTATATTATGTACCCATCAAATTAACAATTTAAAATCTATATTAACTAATATACACTTACACTAGAACCGGTGGACCCATTATTTAAATCATCTGATATATTATTTGCTAATAAATAAAGCATCCGAAGTTCTCTTTTTTGCCGCTGCACAATGCACGTCTGCACCTTTGCCTTTTGCACGCGTGACAAAGCATCGTGTCTGAGGCATCTAAGGTGATCACGACTACCGCAACACTACCGCTTTGCTACATATCAAATCATATATGGAGATGATTAATTTTATTAATAACATGAAAAGAAAATTAAAGGTGTGATGCAGTGAGAGAAGAATCAAGCACTGTGGGTTGTGTTTTTTGCCAACACTTAGCTCTGTTTAAGCTGAAACCGAGAGTTGATTAGAGAATAATTATAATGAAGTGTGTTATGTCGTATTTGGATTTTGTACTATTTGTTCGTAATAGTGAAAGAAATCATTATGTTATAAATGTGAGCACAATATTAACGAATATCAATAGCACTCTTACAAAGACTACGGTGTTATAAGGGAGTTTAAGACCCTCTTTTTTTCCCTGATTCTATAGTTGGATTTTTGTTTGCACGCTTTCCAAGTTTCTAAATTGTGTCTTTTTTAAACAGCATTTTAACTTTTTAGAAGTCAATTCATTCGTTTATACCCTCAAATAGCTATCACATAAATCAGATAATTCATCAATTTCAGCCGTCCTAAACCTAAGTAGTACATAATTTTTTTTATGCGAATCATGTAATCAGTAAATTGGGGATCAATGTATAATCAAAGTCGTAAGATGAATATATAAGAGCTACTATGAACAACTGTAAATAGGTGTCAAAATTAATTGCTACTAATTAGACATCTAATTGCTTACCAGCCACATAATTAATTTCTCTCTACATGTATATAAACATGCACGAAGCTGGAATAAATATTACAATATGCCCTATACATATATATATTAAGCGGTTAATATTCTAATTACATGTGTTAAGTACATTAAAATTTCTTAAAACGTTCTCAAGCTGCCACGTGGTGTTCTAATAAATTAGAGCAAATATTAGAAATTCTAAGGAAAGAAAAGCAAATCATTACTTGATTTTTCACTTAAATCGGTACGTCCAATATTATAAACCGTTATTATAAACCGTTAGATTAAATTGATCTAAAAAAAAACTAAATATTATAAGGTCTCACCTCTCGTCCCGTGGCATAGGTATACGTAGATTGGTACGTACGCTTCCTCTCCCTTTTTTCATTTTTCCCTTTCTTCTTTTTTTTTTCATGCATACACTTCCCTCCCTTTCTTACTATATCATGCGCCTTCTTGAGACGATTTAATCACAAGAATTTTTTTGAGTATCTTGCTCTCGTATTTTTCATTTGTGACCATACTACATGATATGTATATAGATGGACCGTATAATAATTAACTAGCAATAGTTCCTTATTTACTTGAGAAAAAAAATATTAAAAAGTCGTAAGTACTTAACCTATCTCCTACTCAAAAGTTTGTGAATGGTTTTTTAAGATATCTTAAGAAAAATAGAACCCTTAAATTATTATAAAATATTGTTATCCGAACTTTAGTTTGCCCTTAATGTATGAGATAAAATTTTTGAACAAACAATAATCTTACCTTTCAATAATTTAAGTGCCCGTGTATGCACGCGGGCCACCTTCCTAGTTGCAGTAATTAGTCAAGCTGTGCTCCAGCCTGGACCTGATCGAGAACTCTGTCACTCTGATGGACAAGGTACCTGTGAACCGCCTTAGAGCTTATTCTCGGTTAATTTGCAAAAAAAGGATTTGAGACAATTAAAGGGATTAATTTCACATTTCTAAATCCCCTTCAATTCTCTTGCGAGATGGGTTAACCGAAATATCTTAAGAGTACGAAAACAAGAAATGATATGACAGTGAAATTAACTTCACCGACAGGAGTGCTCGTCTTTAAATCCTATAAACCTATAGAAGTGATCCCATTTAATATATGCAATCACAACACAAGGACATATATGTGGACTTTTGCGTCTTTTCGTGGATTTTGATCTACAGACAATTTGAAAGAATTTTGAGAAAAGGAAGACTGATCCAAGAAGAAAGTATTCAAAAGGGGAAAATTGAGTTCGCTTTCAAATTTTCAAATCGAGTATGAGGAATTTTCGGAAATGTTCAACACAGGGATACTTTGCTAGTAAATTTATATGGTTTGGCTCTAACAAATTAGGGAAGACACAGTTATTTTGAGCATAATAATTAAGGTCAATATCATAGTTTAATTTTGAATACAACTGCCACTGGTGGAGAAACCCTTTGTAGTCCCGGTTCGTAACCCCCCTTTAGTCCCGGTTTCCAAACCGGGAGTACCAATCCGGGACTAAAGATAGAGCTGACCTTTTTTTTTTTGCATGCCCCTGTTGCTGCATGGTTTATATATATATATATATATATATATATATATATATATATATATATATATATATATATATATATATATATATATAAATATAAACCATGCATATATATGTTTCAATACATATATATGCATACATATATATATATATGTATTTATACATATATATGTTATGCAAATGCATATGTATATAGATATATATATGAACAAAATATATTTACATTATAGAAAATGTGTACACATGCATATAGAAACATATGTAGTCATGTATTAATTACAATCCATTATATGTCCTAGCTAGCTACGATTTCGACGTAGTAGTACTCGCTGCTAGCTCAGAAGCTAAGGACCGGTGAATTGTGTTTCCGTCGTAGTAGAATTCACCCTTGGGATCAAGGATTTCTTCGTTGATGAATCCCATGAGTTGTTCTTGAACCGCCGCGATAAATTCCTTGTGTGTGGTCAGGTTATCCCTCATGCGAATAAACTATATGAATGTATGAAATTGATTAGTAATTAAACAAGAAATCGCTACGTAATGAAAATTTGAATTTATTTGTACGTACATCGAGCTCTCTTGTGGTGATGATTTGGTCTGCAAGGCAGTGGCAATACTCGCACACGTAATAGCCGCACAAGTTAGTTCCCTGCTTTTGCTTTGCGCACTACAAATAAATGACAAACAACGAGAGATCTAATTAATATACACTTGTATGTATTTGAATCGGAGAAATATAAATGTAGAGCATGTGTACTCACAGGAAATTTGAACTTCCGCCTAAGTCTTTCTCTCTATTTGCCGCGGACCAAATGACGGAACCGATACCAAGCCCTACATGGAGTTTAAAGCTATGATTCGTAGTAGCAATTAACATAACAAGATTTTCTTAATTAACAAAGGAACTTATGACGGTACCTGTCTATAAGTTCGAAAACCTTGTCAAACGTAGACTCTTTTTTATCCATTGAGTCATATACGTTGACGGTGCAGGCCTCCAGGTCGATGAGTAAAAGCACCCAGTGGAATCTGCAATGTGCGTGGGATGCATTACATATGAAACACTTAGCAAGTTCGTACGGGAATGAAATTTGGTATGTAGGAAGACAGTAAAATTAAACTAACTCTGTGTTGTATGGCAACAGTATGAACGTCTTGTAATGCTGCGCCTTCAGGAGATGGACGAGATTGTCCTCTGTTTCTTGTGGATATTGGTCGAGCATTGCGACGTTTACTTTCCGAGGGTCGATGAATCCAGTATCGAAAACCCTCCGCCGTCGGGCCCCTTGAATCTCCATTCTACAACGATAAAAGGGAGTATATTATTTTCTATGGTCTACTTATATACAAGGACCTAATTAATTAAAGGAGACGTATAGTAAGAAATCTAACTGAACGATATACTTACAAAATCCAGCAACTCATAATACAGACGTCGAGGGCGTCCAGCTGGTATAGTTCGTAGATTCCCCTGAAATTGATCCAGAGAATGTCATCTCCTTGCAAGAAGTCCGTGTCCCTGATCCTCGCTCCGATCATCTCTCTACCGGTGGCGCTCATCTCCATGTACAGCTGATGGAACTTGTACATTTGTGTGGGTAGGGACTGCAGCAGCTCAGGCTTGACAAGCGGTTTACCGAGTTCGTACATGTATTTCACTTCCGCCTTTTCGATTGGTGCGACTCCTAGCAATTGATCCGTAGTTAGACCGGTGTCAGTAATAAATTGTTCTATCGTCATTTCTTTACCGGTGTCAGTAATATTCTTTCTTCCCCACACACATTTTCTCTCTCATCAACTTACAACTAAATTTTGGAGACAAAAAAAGTGTGCAAAACATAGGTGCAAATGTAGTATGACAAAAAAAAACATTGGAGGATGAAGTTGCAAACCTTTTAGGCACCTCCGATTTGTATGTAATCACCAAAATAAATTCAATAGAAATTTTGGCATGACCTCCCCTCTTTTTTGAAGAAATTTTGAAGCTTGCTCGGGCAGCTGGAGGAGGAAGAAGACATATATATAGGGGTGGGACTTTAGTCCCGGTTGGTAGCACCAACCGGGGCTAAAGATCACCGGGATCTTTAGCCCCGGTTGGTATTACCAACCGGGACTAAAGTTAAGATCTTTAGTCCCGGTTGGTAGCACCAACCGGGGCTAAAGATCACCGGGATCTTTAGTCCCAGTTGGTATTACCAACCGGGACACCGGGATCTTTAGTCCCGGTTGGTATTAAGATCTTTAGTCCCGGTTGGTGCTACCAACCGAGACTAAAGATCCCGGGGGGGCCTGACAGGTCCTGACAGCATTCGAACCGGGACTAAAGATGATCTTTAGTCCCGGTTGGTAACACAAACCGGGACTAAAGATCAAATATGCCCGTTACCCTTTTGAACCGGGACTAAAGATCATCTTTAGCCCCGGTTTTTATTGCATCCGGGACTATTGTGGAAATCGGCCGACCGACGAAAGATGGTTTCTCTACCAGTGTGCGCAATCTTTGCCAACATATGATCTAAGCATTTTTTTAGTGAACCCAATATGAATTAACCAAGCAAATTCTATCGAAAACAAGAAATGATATGGCAGTGAAAAAATTAAGCTCAATCCATCCAAAATTTCGTGAAAAAGGTTCCTTTCATCAACGAGTTCTACTTGACAAATATCCTTATGTTCTTTTTAGTACCTGTCCTTAGTACATTGATACAAATCTTCAATATATGCCCATGTTTAGTCATTCTAATATTATTTAAATATAGTTGCACGACAGTATATTTTATAGTACAAATCTACCAGCGTTAGTTTCGCATATCAAATCTTAGTACTTCTACACACGTTAGTGATATAAGATTTTGATATTTGACCACACAACCACACAAATTATAAAATGATACTCCTATTTACCCGAGGACAGTGGGATATTCAGATATTGACCAAGTAACTTCTGGTCTAGCCAAATAGATGATGTATGTGTTAGCTATACACATGATAGATGAAGCTTGACTTTGGGAATTTGAAAACTAGAACAATAAACATGTAAAGGAGTTATTTTAAATCCATTGTTCGAACATGTAACATATATAATTTCTAAAATCTATCAACCTTTGTTTGCACAAGATAATGTTTTTGCTATTCTAAAGTTAATGCATAAATATTTTGTAAGTTTAAATATTAAGTCTGTAGAAACGATCTTTTTATTTAGTTTTGGAGTGGAATAATATTCATTTTTATCGATAAGCTGGCCATGCGTAATTCCATACAATTTTGCCAGAAAAATCCACATATATAACAAGCTCATGCGAAAGGGTTTTTGTTAAGATATGGTAAATTCTGCCAAATATACAAACGGAAACCAATCATTTAAACCTCCACAAGAAGAACAAGTCATACCACACATGCCTGCTTTACATCATATCATTGGTGCACTGTTATTATATATGTTTGAGCAAAGGATTTAAAATATCTTCATTTCCACACAACGTTGACTGGGTCATTACATCCTTTTCCGTAGGTATGTTTAAGCATGTGAACAAATGTGGACAGTGCTTCTCACATACAATTTGGACTTGATTTAGTCTTTTAATTTGTGACTTAAACGTAGTCCCATACAATGTGGACTGGATTTAGTCTTTTTGGTACTTATTAATATCAGCACGCAAACATCAGAAGGATGTTCTTTCGACCAATTCTTGCAGCCAAATGGTTGTTGGGGCCAGACTGCTATTTATACATTCATACTATATCACGTGAACACAAAACCACAAGAACAAACTACTCAAAATCCAACATGGATTCGAGATCAGCTTTCTCTTCTATTTTGCTACTAGTTCTTCTACTAGTTTCCCCCTTTTTCACCAATGCATCAAGTAGAGTAAGATGCATGCTTTCCTCATTCAGGAAATGCAATATCGCCTAATTTTTTCCTCAGGAAAGTTACTGACATTGATTCTTGAAACCTTTTTACATCGAAATTTCAGCTCTACATCGTGTACATGGGGGAGAAGAAGCATGACGATCCGTTTGTGGTCACGGCATCGCACCATGACATGCTTGCTTCTGTTCTTGGGAGGTAGTAGTTCAAGTCCTATCTTCTTCTGAATCTTTACTGAGCGATAAAACTGGTTGCTCATGTTTAATTTTGTGGTTCTTGTCAATGTAACACAACAGTAAGGATGAAGCCATGAGGTCTATAGTGTACAGTTACAAACATGGGTTCTCTGGATTTGCAGCGATGCTCACAGAATCTCAAGCTGAAGAAATTGCAGGCAAGTAACAATTAACCCTACAATGGCATAAGCATGTTGTTTTAGTGTTACGATTTGTATGCATGACCATTAACGAACTAATTATGAATCCCTGATGCAGAATTACCTGAAGTCCTCAGCGTGAATCCTAACATTTACCATCAAGCACACACAACTCGAAGCTGGGATTTCCTAGGCCTGAACTATTACGAACAATCAGGCCTTCTAAAGAAAGCCAACTATGGTGAAGATGTCATAGTCGGTGTCATTGACTCAGGTTTAAAACTATAGTACGATATACTATTATGACCGACATCACTAGCATTAATTACAGTAATAATATGCAAATTTCCATTGGTTTAAGCTTTGATGGAATGCAACAGGTATATGGCCTGAATCAGAAAGCTTCAATGACAGTGGGTACAGCTCTGTACCGACCCGGTGGAAGGGCAAGTGCCAAACTGGCATGGCGTTCAATGCCACAAGTTGCAACAGAAAGATCATCGGTGCCCGGTGGTACTCAGGTGGCATTCAGGATGAGTCGCTGAAGGGTGAGTACTTGTCACCGAGGGACGCAAATGGCCACGGCACGCACACCGCCTCAACGATCGTTGGTGGGCAGGTGTGGAACGCGAGCCACAAGCGGGGCGGCTTGGCCGCTGGGTCGGCACACGGTGGGGCGCCGCGCGCACGGGTAGCAGTCTACAAGGCGTGCTGGGGCGCCGCCGGCGGTGGGATCTCTTGCAGCAACGCCGCGGTGCTCGCGGCCATCGACGACGCCATCAACGACGGCGTGGATGTGCTGTCCCTGTCGATAGGAGGCCCCGTCGAGTACCTCTCGTCGCGTCACGCCGTGGCGAGAGGGATCCCCGTCGTGTTCTCTGCTGGGAACGACGGCCCCACACCGCAGACGGTGGGGAGCACCTTGCCATGGGTCATCACGGTGGCTGCCAGCACGATTGATCGGACATTCCCAACCGTGATATCGCTCGGGAACAAAGAGAAGCTGGTGGTACGCACGTATATCCGAATTTTGATACCCATTGTCAACCTATTGTTTTTTGTCTCTTGACAATGAGTTGAAATGAATATTTAATCGATTTTGCTTACAGGGGCAATCTCTTTACTACAAAGCACCAGCGAAGAGCGGAAAATTTGAGATGCTCGTTGATGGAGGATTCAGGTAATTAAACGAGCGGTCAGCCGGTCACTTTATTAGTCAATAGTAAAAATATTCTATCAATTACATTGCTGAATGATCTAACCATCAGTTTCATCAAAAACTTTTGCTTGCAGCTGCGACAAGGAGACGCTGGCGTTGATCAATGTCACTGGCAAGATTGTGCTGTGCTCGGCGCCGTTGCAGGCGAAGTTAAATCCGCCTCGCCTGATGCTGCCTGCAATCATTGGCGATGTCGCTAACGCAGGCGCCGCGGGTCTCATCTTCGCTCAGTACACCGTCAACATTCTTGAAGATCTGGACGCCTGCAATGGCAGCATGCCCTGTGTACTCGTCGACTACGAGATCGCAAACAGAATCCGCTCTTACGTGGCCTCCACAAGGTGGGATTGAGCTCAATTAGCATTGACTGTCCAATTCCGAAAATCACGAATTTCATTTCCATGATCCATCGGGAAAGCATATGGTTAATTATATATGTGCTCTCAAAGAAGCTAGAGTTCTGTATATAATCCTATCCTCAGATGTTTCTTAACTTCTCTGATTTTCCAGGATGCCGGTGGTGGAGGTGTCTCCGGCTATGACCGTGGTCGGAAGTGGGGTGCTCTCACCGAGGGTGGCTGCATTCTCGTCGAGAGGACCGAGCTCCTTGTTTCCCGGTATACTGAAGGTGACATGCTGATCTTGACATGCATTATTAAACAAGTGATACATTTACAACAATGAGAACTACATGGTCTTATATCACTAGTATTTGGTTGTGGCGATATGTCAATACTTAACTTGTTTCTGTCTGTTAAACAGCCTGACATTGCTGCACCGGGAGTCAGCATCCTGGCAGCCTTGGGTGACTCATACGAGTTCATGTCTGGGACATCCATGGCATGCCCGCACGTATCAGCGGTGGTGGCACTGCTCAAGATGGTTCACCCAGATTGGTCGCCTGCCATGATTAAGTCCGCCATCGTCACCACAGGTATGATCAAGTTTCTTTTGATCACCTCGATTGATTTGTTTCTACAAACTCATCGCTTCCTGCTTAATTAGGTCTAACGGGTATACATCTCTGTTGATTATTGCAGCATCGGTGACTGACCGTTTTGGCATACCAATCCAAGCCGAGGGAGTGCCAAGGAAAGTGGCTGACCCATTCGACTTCGGTGGTGGCCACATTGAATCAGATAGAGCGGTTGACCCTGGTTTAGTCTATGATATAGATCCAAGAGAGTACGCTAAGTTCTACAACTGCAGTATCAACCCCAAGGATGAATGTGAGTCATACATGAGGCAACTTTACCAGCTCAACCTCCCATCCATCGTCGTACCAGATCTCAAGTACTCTGTCACGGTTTGGCGAACCATCATCAACATCGGAGTGGCAGAAGCAACTTACCATGCAATGCTTGAGGCACCAGTCGGTATGACCATGTCTGTGGAACCTTCAGTGATCAAATTCACCAATGGCGGTAGTAGAAGTGTGACATTTAAGGTGACATTCACCACAAGACAGAGAGTGCAAGGTGGCTACACGTTTGGAAGTTTGACATGGCAAGATGGTATCACACACTCTGTGAGAATTCCTATTGCGGTTCGTACCATAATCCAGGACTTTGTTGCAGATACTTCATAAACTTTTAGGGGGAGATAGTAAATATGTTAGTGCAAAGTTAGTTTGTTCATTTTTGTTTGAGAAAGTCAATGTGACCCATGTCAGGTGCAATATTAGAATTGTAAGACTGTAGTTCAAATTGGTTGTTGTATTTCTTTGTCCATGGTTATATGAGTATGGTGTCTTGTTTGAACAGGTAGTCCTGAATCATGGATGAAATGTTCTAAAGCTTTTGTAGAAACACACATAATTCGAAAGCTTTTCGAACTGGTATCGCCTCTTGTTAGCCGCTCCTGCCCCTACAAGAATCTATTTAATCTATGACGAAAAAAATTCATCATGGATCACTGAAAATTCGTCACAGGAATTTGTATGTGACGATTATACTTATCGTCATCTATTGTGTGTCACAGATTAAATATGCCGACGTTCTCCGAAATCGTCACGGATCAGCACAATCTATGACGTTTTTTAACCGTCATAAAACGCTTATGGGCTCATGTAGTCCAGCCCAGGCCCAACCTTTGTGACGAAATTAAACGTCACAGATGGTTGCCACGTGGCGGCCAACATGGCAGTTGACGTGGTTGTTTTGACACGTGTACGATGACGTGTCACTGATGACGTGGCAACCATCTGTTTTAACGACCCATTAATTTTTTTAACGGCCCATTAATTATTTAACAGCGGCCCATTATTTTTTTAGAACTGGCCCATTTTTAAATAGGCCCATTTCAGAACTAGGCCCATTTCAAAACTGGCCCATTTTATCAACTAACTATTATATCAAAGCCCACTAAACAGTCCAATTAAATTTGAGCCCACCAAATTCAATCCAATTTCTCATACCATCTCAGATTCAAACCTAATAACATATACCATATTAGACTCAACTAATAACAGATACAATCAGGATACAGCATAATTCAAACAATAGTTCATCTCAGATTCAACATAATAACAGGAAATATGCAAATAGAAAACATATCTTTTAAACATTCAATGGAATCACTCCCTGCTTCTCGTCCTCCACTCAGCAAATAGAGGATTGAATTACAGCAAGGCCTTCTTGTTGATTTGCAAATGGAATTTTTTGCTACAACTTATACATAGCTTCTTGAGATGTGCTGCAAAAATACAATTTTAGTATCAATACTGGGAGTCAACAATATTAGTCCTCCCTCCTAAGATGAGCAGAAACAAACCAAGTTTCCACTAATTTTTTGCACCTATAAAAAGGAAAATTAATCATCAAAGATCAAACCATTTAGTATGTGTCCAAATTGACCATCACACTATCCCACCGCCTATAGTTAATTAAGTAATTCAACCAACCATCAACTATAAAACACCTCCTAGAGTTTGTTTAGCATCAAATGCACATGCCACAGCATGCATGCATGTGTTGGCTAATTTTGCTATGAGATGTTTCAGAAACACTAAGAAACACAGAATTTTGAGACCCACAAACCTTTTTCCATCATATTGCCTCATGTTAAAAATACTACAATTGCTATCATCAAACAGAGAAGATTGCTATCATCATATGGTTCTAATATTTTTATAACGTGGAAGGTATTTCATATAACATAAGTAAAGCATTAAAAAAAACTTACAGTATTTGCATATAGAGAGCACATAAAGAGTATTATGGAACATTAGTAAAAAAAAACAAGAACAAAGAGCTTGCCTAGAAAATCCAGTGGAACCTCTCTCACATATCAGAACAACTAAAGTTTCTAAAGTTAGTCAGTAATAATACCTTAGTTTGCGAAGTGTGGAAAACACATCGCGAATTGAGAGTGGACGAGGAGGAGCAAGTAACATTTGATTCTGGCGGCATTCTTGGGCAACATCGCCTACAAATTACACTATACATCCACTGTTAACACTACACAGGATCGTTTCACATGAAGCTAAACAAGGCAGTTGGACCTGGCTGTAAGCCTGCCAAATGTTGCATGCATGCATTAAACTCCTATTTTGCAAAGACACAGCCTACACCATACAGTATTTTTTTCCCCACACCATGGACATCAACAATGCATTGTTACTTCTAACCTCCAAACTTACCAAGATCGCCGTACGTTTTTGCACATCTCATGTATTTTAGATCTGTTGGGTCCTAATGCCTCCTCCAGAGCAGATACAACCAAACTCCCACCAATGTTTAGTTCCTAGCTTCATTAACAAATATGGGTTATTGTATTGATTGTGCCACACGACAAGGCATAACAGAAGGGTAAACCAAAATATTTATAATAGGACATGACACAGTTACTCATTAGAAAATAATGAGAGGAAGAAAGCCTTCCAAAGGAAAGGGCCAGCTAATTAAGAAAATTTCAACTTATGAAAAAAAATCAACTTATCCTAATTGAAATGCAGCTAGAAAATTTCAGCCTGTTGGAACATAGTATCCTCACAGGGATTTTGTAGGACACCCACATCCATGTTCCTCCAGGAAGTCCCTTGTTTGAGCAGCAGCCTGGCCTCTGTTTAAACCCACCACCCACCAGGTTAACTAAGAACCCTCCCACAACCATCCCACAGGCTAAATTTGCACCATCATGCTACAGAAATATAATGATATAGCTCCGTTGTCCTCCTATGAAGACCATGTGATATACACATATTTGGCAAAGAGAGCACATACACAAGAAATAACTTAAATCCATCCCATGCAAAGTTTTGCAACATGGACATTAAATATGTGAAGGACTGAAGGCTCAGAATCAATCGTGATAACATATGATATTTGCCTCATGGATAGTTCATGTGGTTGCAGACCAAATTGTTGTCGTGATTAACTACAAAATGCAAGTGCTGATAAAATTGGTTGAATTACCGCACCGCCGCGGGCCCGCTGCCCGCACTACTACAAAAATCGTTTTTCTGTACGAGGGGGTCGGTAGGTTCCATACGGGCCGCTTGTGGCGGCGCCTGCAAACCCGCCCTCCCCCCGGGGGCGGGTCGATGAGCCGCATGCGAAGATCCATTATCGCATGCGGCTGCTTAAGACAGCCGCATGCGATAATAGGTCTATTTTCGCATGCCGCCGTCTTAAGGGGCCGCATGTATTAGGGCATGTGGCTCCTTAAGACGGCCGCATGCGAAAATAGGCCCATTATCGCATGCGGCTGTCCTAAGCAGCCGCATGCGATAATGGATCTTCGCATGCGGCTGGCTTAAGGGACCGCATGCGATGATCAGCCATATATGCTCCTCCAGGCCCGAGCTTGACGATTTGAAAACGAAGCTCTCTCTCTCCTAAAGCAAGCACCAATTAGGGGGGGGAGGTTTTCAACTCGAAATTTTTGCTTGAACTCTATACGAAAGGTGAAGAACTCTCTCTCCTCCTTCATTTGGCTCCATTTTTGTTATATCTCGTTGGTGGAAAGTGGAGTTTTTTTAATATTTTGACAAGGTTTGTTCTAACTAGTTTTTGCAAAATCTAGCTTCAAAATATATGTTTTGATGGGCAAATTTTGCATGTAATCACTTGTAAATACTAGTTACATGTATTGTTGTAATTTTTTTTTGGTAGACAAATGCATTTAAACTTTTATATGAAATACCTGCAGTCTATTTTTTTATCTGTAACTTTTTTGCCTTTATATAATTAGATGGATAGGTCATCATGGATGTATGAGATGCGGAGAACGCAGCCGATATTTATTAAGGAAGCATCTAAATTTATTGATCAGGCTAAGGCGCATGGTTTGAGGGAGAATATGACAAAGATCTTTTGTCCGTGCCGTCATTGCAAGAATCAGAAATTGTTGGTAGATCCTGGTGAAATATTGGGTCACATAATGGAGTACGGATTCACCGCCAACTACAAGGTTTGGACCTATCACGGGGAATTCGCCAATCCGGAAGATGACGATGAATAGTTAAGTTTTGAGATGAATGAGGCAGAGAATTTTATAATCGAAGACATGTCCCGTGAAAGAATGGATGTCGATGTTTCCACCGGTAGTGATGATTTCGATGGTGGTTTTGATTTAGAGGATATGCTACGCCATGTTGAACCAGAGGTGCTAGCGGGCAGGTCACGAGGATTGGAGAATTGGCAGGCATTAGAGAAGGCTTCGAAGGATCTTCTTTACGATGAAACGAAGGGATGTGATAAGGATTTCACAGTCTTGCGTTTAGTGCTTGAACTTCTGAGATTGAAGGCTAAACATGGATGGTCGGACACAAGTTTTAATGATCTGATGAGTTTGTTGCGTGTGTTGCGTCCTAAGCCTAACTTTGTACCATCAAACACGTATCAAGCGAAGAAACTCATATGTCCTTTATCTCTTGGTGTAGAAAAGATTCATGCTTGTAAGAATCACTGCATATTATACCGTAAAGAATATGCGGACTAGGAATGTTGCCCAACGTGTGGCACAAGTCGGTATAAAACGGGGAAAGGGCCAGTAGATTCAAAGTGTACCGATCCAGATTCTGATAAGGGTAAGCGCGGAAAGATTCCCTCAATGGTGATGTGGTACCTACCAATTAAGGACCGCCTGAAGCGTCTGTACTCAAACCCGACTGATGCTGAGTTGATGAGATGGCCTCAAGAGAGCCGGAAGATAGATGGTATGATTCGACATCCCGCCGACGCTCGCCAGTGGAAGACATTTGATGCAAAACACCCAGAATTTGCTAAGGATCCCAGGAATGTAAGGTTTGCGTTGAGCACTGATGGAATGAACCCGTTTGGTGACTTAAGCAGCTCGCACAGCACATGGCCTGTCCTTCTCACAATGTATAATCTTCCAACATGGATATGTCAGAAACGAAAGTACATTCTTCTCACTATCCTCATACAAGGTCCAAACCAAACTGGAATCGACATAGATGTTTTCCTTGAGCCTTAGATGGAGGACATGTAGGAGCTTTGGAAAGATGGGTTACGACTATGGGATGAGTTTAAACGGGAGCACTTCAATCTACGTGCGATCATATTCGTTACCATCAATGACCTACCTACAAACTTTTCATTATCTAGGCAGATTAAAGGGAAGACTGGATGTCTGATATGTCTAGAGAAAACTTCGTACAAATACCTGACGTCGTCTTTGAAGACAGTATACATGTGGCATCGACGGTTCCTACCACAAAGACATAGGTACCGTAAGATGGCTAGATTGTTCGATAATACAGTGGAGAATGACACTGCCCCAGCAGCAAGAGGTGGTACATACGTGTATGAGATAACGAAGAAGATTAAGGTTGTATATGGAAAGGGAAAGA